TAAAAAAAAAAAAAAAAAAAATCTATCTTTGTTTTTGTTTTTGTAAATGCTCCGATCCGCAAGTCTGCGATGAATGTGGGTGCGGTTTATATGTATCTCTCCGTCCCTCCGCCCCCCGCCCCCCTCTCTCTCTCTCTCTCGCTCTCCGTCTGTCTGTCTGTCGCTTGTTTCTAATCTGTCATCGGACACTTTTGTGCTACTGACAATTATAACAATAATAAATTGCACGCCGCGGCGCATTGATCGGGCCCAGCCAGAAGATGTGCTCGGCGCTGATGCACAATCGAAAGCGTTTTATAATGCTGCCACATGTGGCAGGGCAGGGCCGCAAATACGGCCAGGCGCTAATCTTGCCCACATCAATGCAAACAGAAATTAACAAGCGAACGCTAGTTCGGGTCGCCCGTTGCCGTTGCGGTTGCCGTTGCCGATTCTCTATATAGCTTGACCATAACTGGGCAGTTGCTGTTGTTGCCACAGTCGTTAGCCATCAAATGTTAATGGCATTAAGCAAGCTTTCGTACTTGGGCGACTTGGGCGACTTGGGTGTTGGTGTTAATGCTACCAGCCACACAGTGCGACGGGGCGACAGTTCTCGACTGAAAGGGGGCCAGCCATAGGGGAGGGGCCAACAGCCAACAGCGACAGCAGAGACATCTAGAAACTGCATTAGGCGTCACTTGGAAATGGCCATGGAACGGCAGCGAAAAGCGATTGGGCCAACATCGTGGAAGCGACGTTTTATGTTTGCCGCGTCGCTGCATTCTTGCGGTTTAGGTTGCATGCAGGCCATCGCGTTAATGGTCAGCGCACATTCTGAATGCCTAAGGGCCGCAGCACGCACAAAGATAGTTTGGGCTGCCAGCTGACAGCGTTGGCTTGCACCACGACTGCATTCACAAGCCAAATTTGTTGTGTGTCTCAAATGGATATGTCATATGCATGTTCAACATATCTCTCTTGCAAGTTTCGTAGATTCATGAATGAATGCTAGCAGATCTGGTTTGTAATTTGGCTTGAATACGTTTTGTAATAAATTTATATACCTATGTAGGCATACATATAAGTCTATCTAACATTATGTACAGTATCTACAAGCAATTTAAATGTAGTTCTATATTGTATAAGATACTCAATAGAAGCCAAAGATACTAAGCTAGTAAACGATGTAAATGAGTTAAGCTTTCAGATACAAATGCATCTCATACAGATACTAGATGTATCTTATAGTTGGATATGTTATATGTATATAGATAATATATCTGAAAGATATAGAAATGTATATAGTTCTACATATGTTGTAAAAGATACTCAAATGAAGCAAAAGATACAAATTTAAAAACTAAGATACAAATGTGTCTATTAAACGAACTTTCATATACAAATGTATCTCTAGTGTTAAAAAAAATTTATTGGATATATTTGAAACTTCAGATACAAATGTATCTCATACAGAAATGAGATGCTTCTCACAGAAAGATATCTATAAGCAATAGAAAGGTAGTTCTCTGTAGTACAAGATACTCAAATAAAGCAATGGATACAAATTTACAAACTAAGATACAAATGTATCTCATTCAGAAACCAGACGTATCTGATAGATGGACATGCTAGATATCTGGAAGATATTGAAATATACATAGTTCCATATTGAAAAAGATACTCAAACGAAGCAAAGTATACAAATTTAAAATCTAAGATACAAATGTATCTAGTACACGAACTTTCTGATGCAAATGTGTCTCATAGACATTAACATTTAATCTTTCACCATTTACAAATGCATTGGATGTATTTAAAGTTTTAGATACAAAAGTATCTCATGCAAAGACTAGATGTATCTTACAGATATACTAGATCTCTTTTGAGTTTCAGATGCAAATGTGTATCATTCTGAATCGTAGATCTATCTTAGGTTTTAGACAATACATCTAGTATTTGATGGATCTTATATTTAATTTTCTAACATGTATATAAGATACATGTCTTTAAGATACAGTTGACAAAAATATTTACATCCCAAAACTGAGATACATTGTGTAATATGCTACATTAGATAAACTAGTATCTTCCATTCATTTGTATCTAAAATAAGATAGATTGTAAAATGCATGTTTACTTAATGAGCTGCAGACATTTTCTATCTAATTTATGATCTGCTGTGTATCTTAGAAACTAATTAATATCATAATTAAGCTACTGCGTGTATCAGATACATTTGTATATCAGACTCATATCATATTATATACACTCATATATTTCCAATCAAAGCAAAGATGATGCTATACGTGAGATGTTGCTAGTATCACATATAAAATAGAATCGGCCAAAGTTTTGAACCATTTCAAGATACTCTGCGATACTTAGAGCCAGCAGCTAGCAGAGGCTGGATGAATGCTTTAGCGTTTCTCGGCTGTGTTTGTTTTTGCTTGCAGCACTGTTTGTTTTTGCATGCATTCTCCACGCAATTCGCAGGCAATTTTCTGCTGGGTGCGTTTCGCATGCTCGAAGCATTTGGCTGAAATAAATGGCTGAAATGGCTGAAATGGCACACGACCTCGCATCGAAATCCAATATACGAGCACCCGATTAAAGTGTGCGCAGCTAGCCGCTAGCTGGATGCACTTGCAAAGCGGCTATGCCACACGCGGCTCCAACGCCTCAGTGGAAGCGAGTGTGTAGCGGTGTGGGGCGGTGCGGGGTGGTGCGGTGCGGTGGGTGGTGCTGACTTTATTTTTGGCCAGCAGCCAACAGCAGAGTGTGGCAGCTGATTAACTATAACAAATGATGCAGCATACGCGGCATCTGTATGTAATTATATATATGTATATGTATGTATATACGTATATTTATTATATGATTCTCATATTTAGCTGGCGAAAAACTCGACTAGTCTAGAGGGCGTCTGACCCTCATCAATCTGTCAAGATCGCTGAAAGCCAACTTGATTTTATATACGACTTATATAGCTGGCAGATATCGAAATAGCATATAAAAGATATCTTACCCCGATCCCCTCACCCCTATCCGCTCTGCACCCGCATCTTCTATGCTCGCTCTCACAGATGGTCATTGGCTCGTGCGTGATTTTGCTAATGGAATTTCCACTTGTTCGATCGAGTTCGATCATTTCATTTCAAGGGCAGACACTATGATACCCTGGCCTGATTTAAATTTAACTAAAATGGACGTAATGTAGCCGTGTAATATCTAATAGGAAGTATGATTACATCTCTATAATTATAACACTATCAATAGATAAAATTAATATTCTATCTCGACAATTTAAAGTATATTATACAGGTATCTTCTAGTCCATCACTCCCAACCGGAGCCAAAGACAAATTTACGAAAATCATAAAAGTCTAGTACGCTTTGTTTATAATACGTTTTTATATTGTTTCTCGTTTCAGAACGACCAATTTGCTAACAAAAAGTCTAAAAAATCAACTGCTGCAAACCGAATGACTGATTTTTCTGAACATTTAATACTTACCTCCTAACGAACTTTATATCAATCTTATCAATCAACGTATATATATATGCGAAAATCTCGAATCAAGTACATATATCAACATATAGTTATATAGGACTTCACGCGGAACGAAGTAGTTAGAAATAGATAGAGCTTTGACAAATATCTTTAGCTATTCGAAAACAACAACAACAACAACAACAAAATAAAACAAAACAAAACATAAACAAACAGTGCATCCGATTGAGTTGAGGAGAGCAGAGAGGAATGCAGCGCTGTCCCTATCTACATGAGATGCGCGAACGTCTACTGGATCAGCCAAGGGAAACACTGCAACTGGAGAACATGGAGCGAGCCAATTTGTTGGACAACCGCCAATCCGCAACCGAGTCGAATCAGGTCGGCACTGTGGTCAAGGTAGGGGCTGTTGGATGTACTCGTTTCAAGGATTCAAATCATATGCAATATAAAACACTCATACTCACACACTCACACACGCATACAGTCATAATTACATTCGATTCAAGTACAAATTCAATTTAATTCAACGAACTGTTTAAATACTAAAGTTGATCTACTGATTTGCTTGTAAATATTGCATATGAATTACACACACTTGCATACAGATATACATATGTATATACATAGAAATATATACGAATATTATATATTTGATATATGTATATGTATGTACATACATATTTCAATAATATCTATTGCCTTTTAGTTATATATGTATATGAAATGTTTACATTAATCCATTTTTGTTTGAGCTTTCCAATTTTAGAAAAGTTCAGTTTACCATGTGAAATAAAATGCCCATTGATTGATTGATTGATTGACCGATTGATTGCTTTATTGACAACTCCAAAGTGTGATACGATCAAAGATAACAAATCGAAAAAAAAAGAAAAAAAAAACTACTCAAAACTCAAATAAAATTTAACCAAATCCTTGCACGAGTAACGGAACGATTCGCCCTTTACTTTACGTTTTTTTTAATATTAAATACAAATGTATATAAATTTATATATATATTGAGCTTTGAGACAATTATATGTATTTATATACATTCTTGAAATCAATTTTAATTTCTCTGGCAATAAATTGGAATTCTTTTTAAATTGGTTTTCCTTTCCGATTTGACATGGAAATGCATGCACTCCAATTATAAATAGCTAATTATCTAACCAATCTCGACGCGTCATTCACAGTGAGAGACGGCTGCTCCTCCATTGTGAATGAGGCAATCTATGCTGACATCATATTTATGTTTAACTGTTTCGCTGTACAAATTCCAATTTATTGTTGTGGCTTCTGAAACTCGTACATGAAAATGGAAAAGTCTAATCGAATTATTCCTTCTCCCACAATACAACCAATATCAAACTAATGCAGCTTCAAGGCGATGGATATCACACCAGCCCCGCCCACCAGCGAACTCCGCTGGTGCCGCACGATTTAGGCGAGGATTTCAATTTGGATTTCGATGACGACTTTCCGATCGACGCCCGACGACCAAAAAACGCCAAGTAAGTGTGTTCCATTCAGATACTCGTTCTACATATCTAGAGAGAAACGAAAAAACATACCGATTTATGCAATATCCGAGCTCCTATTGCTGCCCCACTCTGTGCTAAATGTGTTTCATAATATTTAACCAGTAACACTATGTGTTTCATTATCTCTCCACATCCTCTATATATAAAGATATTCCCGCTATATCTGCTCATATTTGTTTATCATTTGATTTCCGATTGTCATTTGAGGCTCGCTCACATTAATTCATTCTCATTCACCTCCAGGGAACAGTATAGACCCTATTGTCCCACAGATCTTGTACCTCTTAAGTACTCGTAGTYCTCAATCAATCAATCATTTAACTAATGCGCAAGAATCCTTTGCAGCGGCAATCATCCCCAGGTTCTGACGAAACCACAGAAAAGGTCAGATTTGGTATACAAAATTAAAAAAAAAAAAAAAAAACAAAAACAAAAAAAATCATAAATTTCCATAAGATATCTATTTTAAATTAAAAATACTTAACTACTTTTAGTTTCTATCCAAACTCTACATATCCTAACTCAAACTCAATCTTCTAGCCAAGTACTTTATTTTGTTTTTACCCACACACTTAGCTATGAATAGATCTATTGTTGCATTGTGCTAGCGTATAACCCATAGAAAGCACTTGAACTAACATTGGAAAGCAGCTAATCACTAGACATAGATCCCTACTGTATTATCTACATATAAATATATATTTATGCATATATGTATATGCCTACATATATGCGTATGCTTAACTCCTCATCCGCTTTAGCAAAAGTCAAATTCCATGGTTGGATTGTCATCTGCCTGTTCTTTGGCAATCCGACCGATTATAATGTCAATGAACTAATGCCACACAACAGGCACATTGCCTTACATTTCCGATTATGTCGGCATTGTTGAGCATACTCCATCTCTCTCTCTCTTTCTCTCTCCTTCTCTCTTTCGCTCTAGCTGTCTCTAGTTTTGAAAAGACAAAAAGTCAGCGTTTTGGTAGACAGAAATACATATAGAATTGTTAACACAATGCCCGGCTGCATGTAAGTTGAAGAAGTTGCAAACAAATTACGCAACTCGACAACTGCCGGAGCAGGCAACCCGCCAAAAAGTACGCCGAAAGCGCCCGCCGGAGCCCCGCGAGGAATCTATGCTAACTGTGCCCCGGGCCTAAGCTGTCAGCGAGGCATGCCAAGATCTGTGCTCTACTGCTCCACTGCTGGCATGATGGCAATTCCCTAGCTCTCCCCCTCCCACTCGCCCAAGCCCTTTGTGTGACTTGGATGTCATTGTACGGCAGCTGCCGGGGACATGTTGCCATAAAACTATCGATGCTGGGGCGGGGCGACGCCTTGGCATAAACACTTGAGTGTTATGTTTATCAAGTACAACTGCAACGGAAACAAGTTGCCGAACAAAACTTTTGATAAACGAGCCTGTTAAATTGTTATTCAGTCTGCTCCCTTGACCGCCAGCTGCTGCTGCAGTCCTTACAACATCAATTAGCACTGATCGATTCCTCTCATTGTTGTTTGATTGCTAATCATGCAGGGCAAAATTGATAGACTCAATTAAAATCGATGCTTATAGACTTTTATCGATTCCTTCAAGGACTAATGTGCTGTCTGCGCATTTTGGATGCCTCAATTCACTTAATATCGATTGACCTTAAAAACTATATATTTTTAATCGATTTTTATCGATAACAAGCTCTCTATTCATTCAATGGTATATGTGTTGGGCGTCGCTATGATTTACAGCAATTATTATAGTTCCCTAGACCTAAAGAATATTGTTTACGTTAATCGATCTTTATCGATAATGAGGTCGATTCATTCAGTTACTAACCTGTTGCATTTTTTTTTGCGACTAACACACTTACATTTTCTTATAGTATCGATTGAAATTAATCGATATTTATCAATAGGAAAGCTTTCATCTCCATTTTGATTGTGCCTTATTTGGCCGTCCAGTTAACTCCTTTGATATTACTCCCTGAGCAGCTTCATTGGTTGCCGATAATCGATAACGATTTCAGCTTACCGCTAATATTGGCATCAATTCATCTACCTGATTGTGCGACCCAACCTTGTCCCAATTATCTATTTGCCACTGGACTATTTCTAGCTGCTAAACCCCTGGGCAAATGCGATGCATGATTAGATAAATGCGCACAAGGTTAATGATTCCACCTTCAATTAGGCAAGGCTTTTGCCATTAAACAACTCACCTGTTGGTCCCTTTTACCTTTTTTTTTTTTTTAATAGTACTCCTGATGGGCGTTGATACTTTCCGAGCCTAGACGCCTGGGCAATGGGGTAGCAAAAACCAGAAGCTATAAATAACATCAGCGAACAGCCCTCAGAATCCACCCCTGCTCGTATCTCCTGCTGCGAACCCAACATATGCTCATTGTCATCGACAGCCTTTTATGAGAATGAGCTAAAAAAAAGAATCAATTTTTAGCTCTACGTAACTAGCCACACCCGGAACTCTGACTCAATTAGTTTATGCTTGATGTGATGCCTTGATTACAAAAAGGGCTATGCTCAAGGATATTACGTATGAGGTTATATTAGCTTCGTATGATAGTTACGCATAGGTCGGGATGATTTATTAACATTCCTACTTAATTATACAAAATAATGTTATTTGAATTTCTGAGTCATATAGATGGAAAATAGGGCCTTCAAGCCTAATCTATGTAGCTTTAGGGACTCTTTGGGATTTCCAAGTCGAAATGTCTGCTCTATCTTATTTTATATCTTATATCTTATCTCAACTTTCAAAGGTTTTAAAAACTGACTACATCTTCTATAAAATATATCTCCAGAGATTCAATAGCAACAATGATTGAATACTACTTGAGTATTTAACTAGCTTAGCCGTGATCCATAGCCCCTTGAACTCTATATATAGAGTCTTCTAATAACTTTCTTCAACATTGAGAGCCCTTAACCAATGACTTTATCAACTCAGTGTAATGTTATTATCATTTTCAAATTGCAAATAACTTGATCGATCTGGAATTTGTACTGCGCCCGCATACAGAAGCATAATTATCACTTGACCTCTTGTTCGAGTCGGGTCTTTAGGGTTAGGCAACCGTGTGCTCCACTTTTAGCGGGTTAAGCCTATGGCTGGACTGTAACTGTGTGTGGTTTTTGTGAGATTTCCCTCTCCATCGCCATTCGGTCATTCAGTGCACTGCGACGTAGTTGTTGGTGGCTCGTGACGCGACGCAAATCCTTTCCTGCCTTTCATCCAAATGCCAACCCCTTGGCGAACGACATACCCTACAGCAAACGGTCTCGGCTTATCACAGGCCACACACCCCTCGAGCAGTGAGCAGCGAGCAGGACCTGGCTGCCGGCTCGCGCCATGGCGAACAGCCAAGCAAAACAGAATGCGAGGTTGGTTGTTGTGAAAAGCGCACAAAACAAAACTACGCAAAACACACACGAATTACGAATTACGAGCTACGAGCTGCGAGCTACGAAATACGAACACGAAGCGACGGCCCGACCAATACTTACGACATTCGCTGTCTCGTCGTCGAACTGCGAAAGGAAGTGTATGCAGTTATATTGACGACGTCGCTGCTGCTGCGTATATCGTAAGCTCTGCACAATGGGGCGAACCTGATTACGAAATGTAGCGCTTTATTTATGATGAATTCATTGAATTCGAGTCTGTAGTAGGCCAATAGTTAGTAGAGAGGACGGCGCTATCATTAACTATCAATGCTTAGCTATAATGTCATCGATGCTTAACTATAGTGCCATCGTTTCTCAACTGCCAGGTCAATAGAAGAAGAGTATTAAGGCAAAACGATGACAAAAACGACGATCAAATTGATATAAAGCCTTTCAGAAGTCTAAGCTCATTAAAGTTAAAGGATATTCGCTTCATTTGTTTACTTAAGATAGTAGGGGAACTGCGATCCTATTCCTAGGCTTGATGTGACTTAGAAACTTGGGCTCTGTCTTTTTTCTTCGAGAGGGTTTATATCGAGATGTTTATAATGTTTAGCTCAGAAGACACTGGCGCATCTGAAGAACTTGAATTTTGTTTTCCTGAAAAAGTTGATATCTAAACCTGTATATACATATGCACACATATAAGACACTCTATTGAAAACTGAAATCACTCACAGTAGAGTTGCAGCCCTATACATTATATATAAGCTCTATCTATTATTTGTTACCAGACTTCATTAGTTTATGTAACTAACTTCTCCAATCTATAAATTAACCCTCATTTAGTTTCTACATTTTCATTTCATTCATTAATATTTCGCCTAATATGTAAGTTAGCTCAACCACTGTGCTAAGGCATACAAACGAACCCTAACACACACACACACACACACACACATACACATGCAGACACTCAGACATGGGCACAGACGGCCAAGCCCACGGCGAACGTTCGTAATTGAGTTTTGGGCTGTTGCTTTTGGTTAACTGACAGCCCGCCTTTTGCCCTCTGCGCTGCTTCGTCTCTGTTGGGGACTGCACTTTGAAATCGCACAATCAGCCTAGTGGCGGGGAATAGGGATGGAGATGGGGATGGGTGGGCTCAGCCTCGTTATGCTTGGCCTGCGCCCTGCAACATGGTAAACTAAATGAAATCTGTTTTATTCTTGCCGCAAGCCCAACATAAGTGACCTGCTTTGCAGTGCAGAGAAAAGCGTTTTAGATATCAAAGTCAATTGGTGTGGTGCGACTAGCGAGAGATCAGTAGGGTATAGCTTAAAGACTGGCAGGTACAGCACGAGGTGCATCACAGTAGCCGTAAATCAGCAATTCATAATCCCAATGAGCAAGCCAAACAAATGGCAATAAGCGTGCACGGAAGCCAGAGCGATAAGCCACTGAACCACTCAGGCGAGAGCCGAGCACCGAGATGCAAGCGACAGCAGTGAAGGGCTGCAGGGCGGTGCTACCACCCGCACCCACAACCGCCCCAGCACCGGCACCCGCACAGCGTCCGAGTAGCAAATCTGAAATGTAAACGGAACTAAAACGATTTCGAGCTCTGGCAACAAGCTGGGCAAGTGGACTCCGAGGCTCAAAGAAATCAGAGCCAAACAAGTCATTAACATTCCAATCACAAAAAACAAAAAAAAAAACAAAAAAAAAAAACAAAAAGAGAGAAAATGAAAATAATATGAGAAAAATAAGTTTAGAAGCAAATAAGGCGCACCATGAATGGCAAGCCCGGCTGAGTGGAAGCGGGACAGACTCTGCAAGAGCGAGGGAGACAGAGCGTAAGAGAGAGGCTTACAGGGATGCTAAAAGGCAAGAGGTAAACGGCAAAAGCCATACAAAAAAGAGTGCAAAACTCTCTCTCTCTCTCTCTCTCTCTCTCTCCCTCACACACACACTCACACAGTGTGTCCTACTTTTTGGCAATCGACGTGACGTTTCCCCAACGTGCCGCAAAAGGCTTCCACAGCATTCATGCTGGCCCTGCATCCGCCAAAGCGAGAGAGCGAGCTGCAGCCCAGCCAGAGCGAGCGAGCGGGATGGCTGGCGGCAGACAGAGATGGAGAGTGTGAGTACACAGCGGTGCACGAGCGGGCAGCACAGATTCGGCGCACAGGGGCGGCTGCTGCAGAGGCAGACACCGACAAACACAGGAGCTCAGCCCGAGACGAGCCTTTTCAGTTGTAGTTGGATAGTAAAGGGTCCTGGACGTGTTGTGTTCAGCGCTCGCAAGGTAGACACACTGGCCATTCACTTTAGTCAAAAGTGTACAAGTCACAAATTCACAATCTAGTCTGCCTCTATACCGATATATATATACATATATAGGGACAGATTTGTATAGAGACATCAAGTTGGCTTTATTTTTTTACATTTCTTTTTTCACTGAGCTGTGCTAAAGTTGCTGTGAAACATTGTGAATTAAAGTGCCGAAAACATAGAAGAAAAAAACAAGAGGAAAAGTTGTTAAAAGCATCAAAGTGATAAATACTAAGTTAACCGTTAGCTGAGAAGCTCACATGAATTGAGAAAATGCGAAAACTTTTTGTGATTTGCCAATGAAAAAAGCGGAAAACCTCTTGAAACAATTTGCTGTGCTGTCTTGGGCGCGCTAAAGATTTTGCTGTTGAAAGTCTCTCCTGGTTTCGATAGCACCGGGCAGCTATATATACAACATACACGCACACGCACACACACACACACACACACACACACTTGTGCTACACAGCATAAACAGCGCTTGGCGCTTGGTGAGAGCGAGTGCGCAAAATTTACTCTTCAAGTTAGTCGAGCTCCAGCCACAGCTTCAGCTCCAGCTAGAGCTCTATGCAGTGTACATAGTACACAAACACACACACACACATACGTATCTATGTTTATATACGTGTGTGTGCGTGTGTCTGTCTATGTACAGCGCATACACACACACACACACACATACTTACAACAGCAGCTCCAATTGAGTCTTAGTTAATCTCACGCATTTCGTTTCCCCTCTCGCAGCGGAATGCGAGAGCGAGGGTTGAATACGCTGTCTGTGTTGTTTACTTGCGTTGGCTGCGTAGAAGAGAGGTCACTAGGTCGCTCCGGGACGCATTCCAAAGCACCAACAGCTGCAACAACAACAGCAGCAACAACAACAAGGGCCACAGTAATGCTCCAAGTGCGGCTTAAGTTTTTGAGCAGAGCTCGCGCACTTTTTGGCCACGCCTCAGCTGCCYATTTGGCAAATGCATTTCAAATGCGTTCCACAAAATATCAAAGAGCACAACATACACGCATACACACACACACACACACGCGCACATAGGGAGAGAGTGAGAGAGCGAGAGACAAACAACAAAAGAAGTGTTGCATACTTTTGTGCTTGGCCTGCAACAGCATCAGCAAATTGTTTCATTAATATTTCACGCTACAGCGAAACAACAGCGAACAGTGTGCCAAGTGATAAGGCAAGACATCAAGAACAAGAGCAATACGAATAAAAGCGTAATAAGCCAGTGAATAAAACGGCAAAGCGAAAGCTATCGATATCGTTTATCGATATCAACTGAGTGAACAGCCAAGGATCAGCAGCAGTCAGCCACAACGGAGACCGAGACGGAAACGGAGACAATGGGCGGCGGTGAAGTGAAGGTCGCTACCGTCGACGTGGAGGGCGGCGACAATATGGCCACGCTGCCGGTCTCGCGCTCCCACACCGCCGGCAGCACCGACAGCGCCGAGAAGAACAACGCGGCCAACAAGGAAATGGAGCTGAAGAATGTTATGCCACAGCCGTTGCAAAGGTGCGCAGCCTGGGTAACAAACAGTGACAGAGAGTGGGGGGTGGGGCAGAGGGCGAGAGAGAGAGAGAGCGCGCAAGCGAGAGAGCGTTGCGGCTTAGCAAGAGAGAGCTTGATAGTACCAATGGGACGGGGGATGAGCGGCGAGGAGCGAGGGGCAGCGGCAGTGACAGCTCTCTGCAGTGGGTGGGCGCTGTAAGGTTCTCAAGGCCGCCAAAAGTGCCAGGCCCTCTGTTAAGTAGACACACAGCCGCATACACACACACACACACACACACAAACAAACACATATACTATATATATATATATGTTTCACGTACAACAGCTAGAGATACACACATCTCAAAAAAGAAACCTACAAATCCAGTATAATTATATATATCTCCAGTATATACATATGTGTATATGTTGTAGCACATCGAGCTGTATATATACTACAATCGCTTCTATATGTATTTACAACATAGCTACTAATCATACCATGTCGAAATGCTAGTACAAGTGCACCGCAAATCCAAATCCCGAACCCGAAGCGATCCATTGAAGACCCCGCAAAAGCAACAACAAAAATCTCCACTCTGAATATCGTAAAAGTCGTTTTTGTAGTCAATTTTAACGAATAATTTCTGCAACAATTGTCGATTGACGATTGGCAATCGATTGTCAATGATCGATTAACGATTGCCAATCACCGATTGCCGATTGCCGATTGTCGTCTTATAGGGTTTGCTACACGTTCAAGCCAAATCCAAATAAGCACAGTTTTATGCCAGCGAAAATAACGGTGCAGGGCACATATCAAACAAATCCGATAACGGGACCAATCGAACTATGGTAATATACAAACACATATTCCGCCCAACAGCCCCCATTCACACGAAACTCCCTTGAATACGAGCGATGCATGCAAATCTATACACATGTACATATGTATGCATATGTATTTATCTATATACATATGTATACATGTGTATATACGTATACGCATATGCTGAAGTCGGCCTGCCATCATTTTACAATTCTAATTGGATATACGATATATATTATTTTCATTCGCGGAAATGAGGCTGCAATCCAAATACATGTAATACACAAATGGATATCTCGAGTGGTGCGAGCGGGTGGGCTTCATGTTTTTAACTGGGTCACCGAGTGCAAATGAGTTACATGCAGCACACAGCGCTGCACAGTGGCACAAAATGCACTCCCAACTGCAAATACAAATGCAAATACAAATGCAAAATGCAAATGCCGATTGCAATCTAAATCAAATATGTTTAGAGGAAAAGCAGTAGAAAATCGGGATAGGCATAAAAATTGAGTATATAAATTGAGTAAAATA